GCTAATGCCGGGAGCCGCCGGCTGGGGCACACGCGGGTGGGGGAGGCCGCTGTCACGTCCCCTGGCTGGTGTAGAGGGGGGTGGTGCCGGGTCGCGGGATTACATGGGTCACCGCATGGTGACGCCGCCCCCTCGCCACTAGCAGCTTTCCCGCTGCCACCTCGGGAGGACGCGCATGGCCCAGAACAATCCCGCTTGGCCCAAGAAATACTGGTGGAAAGTTGCCATTAAGCCAATCAGGAGGCAGCTATTTGCATACCTGCTCTAATTGGCTCACACCTGTTCAGGCTCCATTATTGACCTGCAGGAGGTCAGCAATAGAAAGGTGGCGATTGGCCGGGTTTGAGGGCACCCCCAGGGTGGGGAGCCGGAGACATGAGCAGCGCCAGGCTCAGGAGGCAGCAGGATGCTGGTGCTAAGGCCCAGGCCTGGCCGTTGAGGCAGGCAGCCCCCAAGCGTGGGCAGCCTTCTGGCTACAGGCCCATGGCCATGAGCTGCCTTCCGCCCCCAGCCTCTTGCTGGGTCAGGCCCTTGACTGAGCCCGAGGGGACGTGCGCGCAGTCATACAAGCCCTACAATGCTCCCTTTAATTTTTCATGTGTGGAATAAATTTGTGAGATGCACCAAGGCAAGCACAGATGTGCACCACCACTAAACACAGTTGCTACCAGCTACAGGAACTCTGCTGATCAGCTGGGTGGCACCTGAATCGCTCCAGGAAACAGGCTAATGGGGAACCCTGCCTACAGGCGCTGCTGGGACAAATCCAGCCTGATGCCACAGCTGTCTTGATGGAGACTCACGGAACTGTTGTCATAGCCAGCTGTGCAGGACCCCCAGCAGCTGGTTCCCAACCTTACCACAGGTCTGCGTACGAGAGCGCGTCTGCCTGAGCCACTGCCTTTCCCCATGTCCCTCACCCCGCGTGTGGGGTTCAGAGGGTTCCATGGCCTAGAAGCTGGTCCGGCCCCGCGTCCCAGCGAGGATGGCCTGGAACAGGCTAAGTGCGGCAGTTCGAGCCCGACAAAACGTGGCATCCCTCGCCCAGGAAATCGGTTCCTTCCTGGCTCCTCTTCTGGGGCAACAAGGAGGCGGGTCTCCTCTGAGCCCCTCCCCCACTCCGGTTCCTACATCCCCTCCCTGGGGAGTTGGTAAAAGCTGGTCCGGCCCCGCGTCCCAGCGAGGATGGCCTGGAACAGGCTAAGTGCGGCAGTTCGAGCCCGACAAAACGTGGCATCCCTCGCCCAGGAAATCGGTTCCTTCCTGGCTCCTCTTCTGGGGCAACAAGGAGGCGGGTCTCCTCTGAGCCCCTCCCCCACTCCGGTTCCTACATCCCCTCCCTGGGGAGTTGGTAAGGGGGAGCACCTAGAATCCTAGAACCACAGGGCTGGAAGAGACTCCGGAGTCAGCAAGTCCAGCCCCCTGCCCTAGGCAGGACCAACCCAACTAAATCAAATACATTTGTCAAGCCGGGACTTAAATACTTCTAGGGATGGAGACTCCACCCCCTCCCTAGGGAGCCCAGCCCAGCGCTTCACCCCCTCCCTAGGGAACCCAGCCCAGCGCTTCACCACCCGCCTAGGGAAATTGTTTTTCCTAATCTCCAACCTAGACCTCCCCCACCACAACTTGAGCCCATTGCTCCTTGTTCTGCATCTGTCACTACTGAGAACAGCCTCTCTCCAGTCTCTTGGGAACCCCCCTTCAGGAAGTTGCAGGCTGCTCTCAAATCCCCCCTCACTCTGCTCTTCTGCAGACTAAACAAACCCAAATCCCTCAGCCTCTCCTCATAGGTCATGTGCTCCAGCCCTCTCAGCATTTTGGTCGCCTCCGCTGGCCCCTCTTCAATGCGTCCACGTCCTTCCTATAGCAGGGGACCCAGAACAGGACACAGTACTCCAGCTGTGGCCTTACAAGGACCGAATAAAGGGGACCACGGACAGTCCCCTATTCAGCTGTTGCGGGGACTTTGCAGATTCCTGAGCAGCGGCGCTGGAGTGAAAGGGCCGTGCCCCCCAGAGCTGGAGTCAGGAACAGGGCCGTGGCTCCAGGAGGAAGAGACATGAACAGGGTAAGTGGGGTGGGGTCAGAGCCCTGGTGGAGAGGTCTCTGAGCAAAACCTGGTGCAGCCCCCCCTCACCCTGGGTTCCCGCGCAGAGGCCATGTTGGTTTTCACAGGCCCAAAGGAACTAAGACACCGGCTCACTTCTAGGGCATCACGCCGCCCCTCTCAGAAACGCATCCATCGGGTGGTGGTGTGTTGAGGCAGCGGAAAGCTGGTCTCCTGTGGGTTCCCTGGAGCCAGGGAACACTGCTGCGCTTTGGCCCGCTGCAAAACCCACAACCCCCCTCCTTCCCCGAACGCCGCAAAAGAATGCCCAGGAGTTCCCCGCGTACAGTCAAAAATAGGTTTAGTGGGATGGCTCGAGGCACAGCTGTAAGCAGCAATACTGAACACACGTCGCTTGCGCATCTCCAGGACGGTAAAGAAAGTCTCTTAGTTGGCAGACCCCATTAAAAAAAAAAAAAAAAAACCACCATGAGAAAGTGACCTGCTTGGAATTATTCACAGAATGGTTACGGTCCCTTTACCACGATCCTTTCGCCCTCCTTCACTTGCATGAAACAACTGAGCCCCCACCAACCTGTGGCAGCTGGTAGCAGGAACCCGTGTTTAAATTATAAATTACCTCCTGACTCCAACCTGGTTATAAGTCAGGGTCCACGAAAAGGGAGTCGTTGGGCCATTCTCGGAATGCCCTCAGAGCAGGCGACTTGCCTCCGCCTCGAGGGAACATCGCCGTCGCTATATACACTTGTTTCACGTAAATTACACAGCTGGTTTTATCGGCCGAGCGGCTGCCCCGGAGATCTCCAGCCGTCCCGTCAAGTGCGGTATTTCAGGATGATGGGTACTGCAAAAGAGAACAGCAAACATCAGGGTCTGTAAAACCAGCGCAGACACACCCAGCGGCGGCCAGGGTCAGCGCAGCCGGAGAGAGAAAGCAAAGACTTCAC